CAGATGTTTCCTCTTGACGTAAGATCCTTCGAGCTGAAGAATAATGGGCAGCTTAGATTTAACCTGAGAGATTTTCTTTTTTATACATAAATGGCTTGGAAATCAGACGAGCACCAATGCGCCTTTGTATGTGTGCTTCATTAGTGTGTACTAAACCAACACTGACTGTCATTTATGTGTGCACAAATACAGCAAAGAAGAGTTTTAGATTAAAGAAAACGTGGAAGGTCTTTCTGATGGCATATGACAGTAACCTATATAATAATTATTAATATTTCTTCTTGGTTAAAGAGGTGCTGGATGACTTCACAACAGAGGCAATATGGCTTTAGACTTATTTTATAAAGATGAAGAGAACAATATTTGTTTTATATATAAATATATAGATATATTTAATTTTATTTTTGAGAATAATAAAGTTTGATTTTACACTTTTTTCAAAGATGTATTGATGATGCAACATGACACTCTTATACCATACGTCCCACTTTGGGGAAATCTGAAAACATCATGGCATTTTAAGGAAATGTCTTATGAGTGAAGTATATAGATTATGATTCATTGTATAAACCATGGCAATTTGCTTTGATCTGTTAAGTTTCATTTCTAAAACTAACTGGAAAAAAATCAACCATACAGTTTTATGGTTCCTAGTTTTGACCACTTTTCTCTTGCTAACACTTTGGTGCTTGCTGAGAGGAGCAAAAACAAAACCACAAAAAAAAAAACCCTGTTGCTCTGATTTCAGTAGTTTTACTGTTTGTTTGTTTGTTTGTTTGTTTGGCTGTTCTTTTATAAGGTTATTATGGTGGTCAGATTTTTTGCCAATTATTTAATTGTACATTAAAATGTTTGTACCATACAAAAATAATTGGATTGTGTTGTGGTGTAATTATTGAAATGGACCCCCCCCCCCCCTGTTTTGTACAATCTTAAAAAACATTCTTTAATGCATAATATCTTTACACCGAAGCTTTATTTATGTCATTATAATAACAAATTTTCCTTTTTAAAGTGCAAATATTTCTAATAGCAAATGCAACCACAGACATTTGGCACAGACATTGTCTATCAAATTTATACAAGTTCAAATGAAGTCAGATACCAAACAGTTGAGCCTCCAGAGCTTCCTAGAGGTTAAAAATACATTCACCTATATATATATATATATATATATATATATATATATATATATATATATATATATATATATATATATATATATATATACATACATATATACATATGATTTGAATCCAACACGGAAGAAAGTAGTTCCTCATACAAAAGGGTTTTTGAGACTCTCTATGTTTGATTTTGTTTTTATATACAAAATTATGTCGTCAAACAGTTGTATAAACAGAATATCACATTCATAGCAGTGCGATATGGCTGTTTATCGGCACTGGTGGGGGCACTAAGGCACTCAGCCACGTATATATATATATATATATATATATATATATATATATATATATATATATTCTACAATTTTTTTTCCAGGACTTTAGAGTAAATTTCTATGACTTTTCCAAAACTTTGTGGGGTTTTTAGGTTTTCCAAAACTTTTCCAGGCCTGGAAAATGCCATGTCAAAATACCATAACTTTAGGTTTTTAAATGACCGTAGGAACCCTGTATCTATTTTTAGTAATGTAGAGCTCTGCTGTGACTTTTGAATTTCCCTTTGGGATTAATAAAGTCAAACAAATAAACAAACAAACAAGTTCTAAAAAGTGTACCTTTCAGACTCCAAAGACATTAGTTTGGCGACATTGTAACAAATGCGAGCATCCAGAACCACACAGTTTTCATATGCTTTCCTGAATAACAACACAAACGAGAAAAAAGGTTAGACAGAGTTAAAGGCATAACACTCCCATGAGAGGAGAAGGAAGAAGTCCTACTACTAATTCCCACTTTCTTCTTTATCCTGGCACTGGAACACAGTGTTGATAGTCTTGCAGGAGCCAGACTTCAGCATTGTCTGGCGCACACTATAGTTTATGTCGACCAGAAATGACTCACTTAGACGGGAAGAGACTGACCAGCATGTAAAATGACCGGCCACTGTTGTTTTATTTTATGTGATGCATAGGGGCGAGTAAATCTAATCAATAGTAGAAAACTAATGCAACAATCTGATAAGCTTTTCAAATAATGACACAGCAGTCTTAACACTGATGAACACTGATGACATTACAGGAAAATATTTACAGTGTGAAATCACAAGTTCCATCTGAATTATAGTAATAGGTCTAAGGAAGCCTACAAGGTTGATCAAACTCTGTGGCAAACATACTTTGAGACTGCTTTGATATTTTATCTACACATCCTGCCTCCTATCTGTCTTTCACAATCATGTCTGGTGGTTACTTGGACCGTAAATTGTGTTTTCTCCTATAAATCTTTGACGTGGAGTTTTGAAAAAGACATGCATTGTCCTCACACATTCTTTTGGAGTAAATTAGATTAGATAAACCGAGTGGATGGACACAACCGGTATTTGTGGCCACATGACCACTTTATACCAATAAAAAAAGAGTTAAAGCTGTCTATTGTCCTACATGGGCCACATCTCAAGACTAAGCCTAGTCATTTCAGAGTGCTTGAATTCACCAAGGAGATACAGGTACCATATATCGCATTGATTCATTAAGTTAAAGTGTTCTCTGGGCGGCTCAGTGGTTATCACTTTCGCCTCACAGGAAGAAGGTCGCTAATTCAAGTCCTGGCTGGGTCCGTTGGCATTTCTGTGTGGAGTTTGCATGTTCTCCCTGTGTTCGTGTGGGTTTCCTGCGGGTGCTCCAATTTCACCCACAGTCCAAAGTCATGCGCTTTAGGTGAATTGGGTGAACTTAAATTGTCTGTAGTGTATGAGTGTGTGTATGGATGTTTCCCAATGCTGGGTTGTGGCTGGAAGGGCATCCGCTGCGTAAAAACATATGCTGGAATAGTTGCCAGTTCATTCCGCTGTGGGGAAATCTCAAATAGAGACTAAGCCGAAGGTCCTTATTGACCATATTTGGAATGGTTGTAGATATCAATAAGATGAATATGGCACTGATTACATTTGATCTGTATATCCTGCATTTTGCGTTCTGACGAGCTCGATGGCTGTGGGAGTCGTCGCTTAGTAATGCATAGAAAACAAATAGGTATGGCTGGCTTTGATTTTGCTGCGCCTCCTGTTTTCAAAATAAGAGTCCCACATACATGTTTAATATAAATTTCGATAAACATAAAAATAAGAGAGGAAAATTATCTTTGTTATAATCTTGAAATGCAGGCTGGGGCATGCATAATGATGATCCCGTGTGCTACATATCAGTCTGTGTTTCAGCTGCTCATCAGGTCTGGCTAAGGTAGAACGTGACGTAAAGTACATGCAATTCTTAAGGGCATGCTACTGAATAGCCTTGAGAGCAACGCAATAGTGCTCTGATTAGCCTGTTTTTCACCTGTGTTTTACACCCACAGAAATTACATGAGAACTTGGAAACAATGGCATTTGAGGCTCACAATATGGCCATTTCCATTTACTGAACTTTTATAATACGATTATGCCTACACTATTAAAAATGCTTGTTTGCACTCAATTGATGTGGTGGTGCAACATGAAGGAGTTAAAGTAACTTTTTAGTTTTTACAAATTCTATTAAGCAATTTGAACAAACAGCAAAAAAATTTTTGACTTTAGGTATACCAAAAAGGTGGTACACCTTTAAAGGGGTAGTTCAAATTAAAAATGGTCATTTACTTGACTTAATAGTTGTCACAATCACCAGCGATCTAACCTATACAGATTGCTGGAGAACACACACGCACGCACGCACGCAAACACACACACAATAAACTACGACTACCAGCATGCTTTTCACTTAACCCTCCTGCCACAGCTGACAGTTATTTAAACACACGCACATCTGCGGTTCATTCCCAATAATTACAGCACCATATAGAGTTGAAGTCAGATTTATTAGCCCCCCTGAATTATTAGACTGCTTTTTTATTTTTAACGGAGTTTAACGGAGAGCAGATTTTTTAACACATTTTAAAACATAGTAGTTTTAATAACTCATTTCTAATAACTAATTTATTAATCTTTGCCATGATGACAGTAAATAATATTTTACTAGATATTCTTCAAGACACTTCTATACAGCTTAAAGTGACAATTAAAGGCTTAACTAGGTTAATTAGGTTAACTAGGCAGGTTAGGGTAATTAGGCAAGTTATTGTACAATGGTGGTTTGTTCTGTAGACTATCGAAAAAAAAAAGCTTAAAGGGGCTAATAATCTTGACCTTAAAATGGTTTTTAAAAAATTAAAACTGCTTTTATTCTAGCCAAAATAAAACAAATAAAACAAGAAAAAAATATTATCAGACATACTGTAAAATTTCCTTGCTCTGTTAAACATAATTTGGGAAATATTGAAAAAAGAAAAAGAAATTTCAAGGGGGGTTAATAATTCTGACTTCAACTGTATACATAAGTTTGTGTTCCGCTTTCGTTGTCTGTTGTTTTTTGTTGCTCTCATGATGCCCGTGTGTATCTTGGTCTGTATTACCTTGTTTTGTTATAGTCTTTCATTTAAATGTGTGCTAAATGCTGCATTTGGATCCACACTTTATTTAACTCATCTGCATTACACAACGGTGCATAACAGAACAACAGACCACTTTGGATCCAGCAGCATTTATTGTTCATTTTGTGTGGAGCATTGAAAATGGACCGCAGCTGTGAGTGTGTGTCCAAATGACCATCAGCGGAGGCAGGAGAGATTGGTGCAAAGCATCCTGGTGGTGGTAGTTTATATGGTGTGTGTAGTTCTCCAGCAATCTGTGTAGTTTAGATAACTGGTGATTGTGACAATGGCTTTCAAATCCTGCATGACTTAGAAATATTAAGATTCAACAAATCTTTCAAACCACACAAACTCCTTTGAGTTAGAACTGTATGGACATTTTTCTAAACATCTTCTTTTATGTTAAAAAAACAAAACACTGGAGCATAAATTACAAAGACTTTTTAGCAGGGACTTACTCAAAATGCTGCTTTATTTCGCTTTCTTCTGCATATTTTGCAATCCCGCTAATGAATAAAGTGCGTTTCACCTGTGAATTAAAGACAATGTGAAGACATCAGAGTAAAGTTAATTAGCATTTGCAGTATCATTTGAACTGTAGCATCGATTGATGCTCTATGCTAATGGTCCAATAACAAAATGATTTTATATAAGCAACTATGGACTGTAGTCCGAATAAACATAACATCTGACATACAGTCTGTTCAAGAGTATTAAAAATCAACTAAAATACAAACCTTAGCTTGTTAAATGATTTGTCTGTGTACATATTTTTTTTTGAAAAATCAGTCATTAAATATAATACAACTATTTCATTTTTTAATCTGTACACTACCTGACAAAAGTCTTGTTGCCTAACCAAGTTTTAGGAACAACAAATAATAACTCGACTTCTAGTTGATCATTTGGTATCAGAAGTGGGTTATATGAAAAGTAGGGATGTCCCGATCCGATATTGATATCGGAAATAGGTCCGATATCAGTCCAAAAGACTATATCGGACTGCGTTCAAAATCTCCGCTATAAGCAGTCCGATTCGCTCTAAACTCTGTTACATCTATTCTATTCAGCAGCAAAGCCCACGTGATCAGAACACTGCTTGCTAGCAAAGTCCCTTTAAGATGTAACAGTCTTCACACTAAGTTATGGTGTATTACGTTAGAAATCTATTGTGACGGTAACGCATGCTGACGCTATCAACAACAGCACATGTCTTCAGGTTTATTTACTTCACGTCAAGTGATCTTTAAGTTATATTGTTTTGTATATGCTGCTAAGCAACGCAAGGCACCAAATGGCGACAAACGGCACATCGTGCGAGCCTCATTTAAAACGTTACAATTCGGTCATGGCATATCGTGGTTCATCCAGTGTGATACCCAATTCAACACCAGCGCTTCCCACACAGAAGACTTTAACTCAGCGGCCCGGTTCTGTGTGCGTGAGAATACTCCGCCACAGACTCGCATGTTCTGCTGCTTCAGACTTCAGAGACGTACATCTGACTTTGGTAGTCGCTTTGAGATGAGCGCAAGGACACGCGAAGAAAAGCCTTTTACTAAATAGACTGACCCAGCTCATTATTTAGGGTGACAATACATCCTCTTTTTCCTGGACCTGTCCACTATTTGAGACTTAAAAATGCATTCAGCCAGGGTTTCTAAATCGCCTAACAAGTCCCGGATTCTGCTTTCGTTTTCTATAGCTGTCATGTAAAAGGTGTCAAATGCTAAACATCTTTGTTGTTTTAAAAGCAAAGGCCTCTAGATGACGCTTATTTACCAAAATAAAATATGATTATGCCTTGATTTTTAATTATTTAATTAGGACAGTGAGGTCTGATTTTTCTTAGACAAAAGTCTTGTCACTGAACAGAAATAATGTCCAGTATAGAATATAAAGTCCTGCTGCAGTGGAGACAGAATGAATATTGTGTCTGACTCCATCATGAGCTTGGAGGACTGCATCCATACATCTCTGCAATGACTCAAATCACTGATTAATAAAGTCATCTGGAATGCCAAAGAAAGCGTTCCTGCAGGACTCCCAGAGTTCATCAAGATTCTTTGCATTCATCTTCAATGACTCCTCCTTCATCTTACCCCAGACATGCTCAATAATGTTCATTTCTGGTGACTGGACAGGCCAATCCTGGAGCACCTTGACCTTCTTTGCTTTCAGGAAGTTTGATGTGGAGGCTGAAGTATGAGAAGGAGTGCTATCCTGCTGGAGAATTGTCCCTCTCCTGTGGTTTGTAATGTAATGGGCAGCACAAATGTCTTGATACCTCAGGCTGTTGATGTTGCCATCCACTCTGCAGATCTCTCGTACACCCCCATACTGAATGTAACCCCAAACCATGATTTTTCCTTTACCAAACTTGACTGATTTCAATGAGAATCTTGGCTCTATGTGAGATCCAGCAGGTCTTCTGCAGTATTTGTGAGGATTTGGATGCAGTTAAACGGATGATTCATCTGAAAAATCCACCTTCTGCCAGTTTTACAAATGATCTACTAGAAGTAAAGCTAATTTGTGTTGCTCTCAAAACTGGGGTCGACGGCAAGATTTTTGTCAGGTAGTGTAGACTTCATTCATTTTAAGCAAAAAAAGGTTTAGCTAGAAATAACAATCCTGGCTGTAGACCGAAATCTGAATTAAACCAAAAAGATTTGGTGGTTTCTGCTCACCAAGTCGTCCTCTTTGTAGTGCATCTTTGATGTGTGTCTCCTCATGCTGTACACAGTCAGTAACAGATAAAAGAAGGCAAATATAGTGTGCAGCCATAGCAGGTGGTTACTGAAAGAGAGCAAAAAAAAAAAACAAGCCAAAAGATGATTCATTCACCAACAGTCACTTAAGAGTCAAATCAGTGCCTCATAAGCAGGGCCAGACAGAATCTCCAGACATTTTTTGCTGTTTTTGTGCAGAATGTTATGCTAATTTATGTGGAATGATTTTGAGAGTATAAAAGCTAAACATTTAAGACATAAAACAAATAAATAATCACTTTTTAATAAAGGATTACAATGCAAATCTAATTAATACCAAGTCTCTCATAGAATATATCCACTAAAGGACAGAATATATTAATTAACAAACTGTATCGTACATAAATCATTTAAATATATGCCTATTTTTCAGTAATATTGCTGAAATGAATTAATATTTACATACACACATTTGCATAAGTAAATAAACAGACTCAATGATAGGCTAAAAAAAATTTGTTTATCATCTAAATTTCAGTCAAATCGACAAAAGAAAACTACATTAAAGCTGATTAACTCATTGAAATAAGTTAAAGTAGCATAAAAACATTTGTTGTCTTGACTTTATTTCATAGATTTTTTATTTACAGTGTACCACCCCTGAGCAGGGCTTGAATCAGTGACTACTTCATGTGATCATGAGCGCTTTATCAAGGACACTAGCATTCTATACAGTTTGTCACTAGACTGAGATGATTACAGTAGAGTGAAGTTTACCTCCATATTAGTTACTAGCTGACCTCTGTTATTGTAGCACACTATGATCAGCAGAGCCGCCAAAGTTAATTCTAATCACCTAAACATTGCACACGCTTACCCAGATTTTAAGTTGACTACTGTAGTTCGCCCAAAACTGTAGGCATTATTATCTGCAGGAAGAGAAAGCAAGAAGTTGTGTCATAGCAAGTCTTTAGTAACGTGAAGGAAAGTAAACTTAATGCTGCATTTAGACATGTAATCCTACGTGACTCACTCTCAAAGTTTCCTGTCTCCACTAATTGGTCTCCTGAGAAGTTGACAGGCAGGACGATGCCCACAGAGAGCACGCCCACCACCACCAGCAGACCAATTATGTGCCGCTGGAACGAGAGGTAGTGCACCGCGTCTTCACCACACTTCTCCCTGATCTCGTCATCTCTGGGAGAAAAAGAGAGATGTGTGTCAAAATTTGCATTCATTTATTAAAAATGTAAGGCAAGGCGAGTTTATTTATAGAGCACACTTCTTACACAATAGTCTCAAACAAGAATAAACTGAACAAATATAAGAAAATAAAAACAACAAAGAATAAAAACGATTAAAAACAGATTAAAATGTGCTCAAGTTAAATTGTATTGATCATAAAAGTAAGAAAAATAAAGATGTATATTTTATTCAACAAGCACAATATTTAGTTCACAATGTTAAAAAATAACAGTATATGAATTAAGCAATATTTGAAAAAACATTTCAAATTAGCAGATGTTTAAATTCAGTGACTTATATCAGATGTGCATTACAACAGTGGAATAATATAGCAGATGCTTTTAGTCAGTTACATATTACATCTACATAACAACAAATACTAATAATATAATATACTCTCTGGCCACTTTGTAAGGTACAACACAGCTTACTAGTACCAAGTTGGACCCAATTTTGGCCTCAGAACTGCCTTAATCCATTGTAGCACAGATTCAACAAGGTACTGGAAATATTTCTGAGATTTTGGTCCATATTGACTTGATAGCATCACACAGTTGCTGCAGATATGTTGGCTGCACATGCATGACACGAATCTTCCATTCTACCACATACCAAAGGTGCTCTTTTGGATTGTGATCTAGTGACTGTGGAGGCCATTTGAGTACAGTGAACTCATTGTCATGTTCAAGAAAACAGTCTGAGATGATTTGTGCTTTATGACATGGATCATTATCCTGCTGGAAGTAGCCATCAGAAGATGGGTACACTGTGCTCATATAGGGATAAACATGGTCAGCAACAATACTCAGGTAGGCTGTGGCGATGACACGATGTTCAATTGGTACTAATGGGCCCAAAGTGTGCCAAGAAAATATACCCCGCACCATTACACCAACAGCCTGATTCGTTGATACAAGACAGGATGGATCCATGCTTTCATGTTGCTGGTGCCAAATTCTGACCCTACCATCTGAATGTCACAGCAGAAATCGAGACACATCAGACCAGGCAACGTTTTCCCAGTCTTCCATTGTCTAATTTTGGTGAGCCTGTGTGAATTGTAGCTGTTTCTGTTTTTAGCTGACAGGAGTGGCACCCGGTTTGATCTTCTGCTGCTGTAGCCCATCTGCCTCAAGGTTGGATGTGTTGTATGTTCAGAGATGCTCTTCTGCAGACCTCAGTTGTAACGAGTGCTTATTTGAGTTACGGTTGCCTTTCTATCAGCTGGAACCAGTCTGGCCATTCTCCTCTGACCTCTGGCATCAACAAAGACATTTGCACCCACAGAACTGCCGCTCACTGGATTTTTTTTTTTTTCGGACCATTCTTTGTTGTGCGTGAAAATCCCAGTAGATCAGAAGTTTCTGAAATACTCTAACCAGCCCGTCTGGCACCAACGACCATGCCACGTTCAAAGTCACTTAAATCCCCTTTCTTCCCCATTCTGATGCTCTGTTTGAACTTCAGCAGATCGTCTTGACCATGTCTACACGCCTAAATGCACTGATTGGCTGATTAGAAATTTGCGTTAACAGGTGTACCTAATAAAGTGGCCGATGAGTATATAATATAATATAATATAATATAATATAATATAATATAATATAATATAATACCTTAAGTTTTATTTACGTTATACCAATTGGAATAAAAGTCTGATGTTTAAGAGAGATAAAACCATCATATTTCCCTATTTTCTTGAATTCTACTGTAAAAAAGGGCCCTGGGCGCTGCTTATATGTCAATGTTTTGTAATAAAGAAAGCCATCCATTGTTTTACCTTCATAATTAGGACGTTCTTAAGCTATACTATGTTGAAATAAACATGACTGCAGTACACTCATGAAGAAAATGCAAATGAAAGGACTCACTTTATCCTGAAGATGGCAGTTAGCCAGGAACATAAACCCTGTAAGAGACAAAGAACATCATATTCAATGCACTCTAACAGTTGTCTGTCAATCACCTGAACATTCAGAGACATTAACCGTCTCTAATGCAGTTTCAGGAGCCGTTTTCACACGTGACACCAGTTTACGTAAGTGCAGTTATTCCAGATCACAGCAGGCAAGGGAGAGGCAAACAAATGCCTGTCAAAAGGCGTTGTTAGCGCTATTATGAAATCCACAGGTGTGCGCATTAAAAGAGATAGATGACAAGAAATACCGCCTTGTGTGTGCTTTTCACTCATTTGAATAGAAGCATGAAAGAGCGAACTGAAGGCAGAGATTATGTTCAGAATGACAAACTTGCTCTGCAGATACTTTTTTTTGTCGTTGCAAAACTTTTAGAAATAATGTGAAACATATATACTGTATTATTAACCACACACCAACTAAAGAACACTTTCATTTAGAAATTACACCTATTAATTCTTTCTAAATGGATTGCATTGCCAAACACAATGGAACAGTGTGCCCTTGTCAAACATTTTGAGTTTTAATTAGAATTCTTTGCAGGACTAAATTTTAAATCCCGCTGCCCGACCCGCCCCGTTTTCTACCCGCCGCGCCCGATCCCACTAGATCCCGCTGGAAAGAGCGGGGGGAGAACAAAACCGAAAACCACCCAGCTATACTGAGTCCAGACAGCCTATAACAAGCTGTCTGTATAAACACACACATAGCACCAAGCGCACGCACACACACACACACACACACACACACACACACACACACACACACAGACAAAGCTCTCTCACTCTCATTCGCGCGCATGTGTGCACTAACACACACACACACACACACACACACACACACACACACACACACACACACACACACACACACACACACACACACACACACACACACACACACACACACAAAGCTCTCATTCGCGCGCTCATGCGCATACACACACACACACACGCACCTCTCATTTGCACGTGCGCACATACACACATACACCTCTCATTCACGCGTGCGCACATACACACAGCAACAAACAGGCTAAACACAGCATCGCGCTATTTCATTTACACACATACATACGCGTCCCGCTCGGGAGTCGGGCGCGATATTGCTAGACAGCCCGCTCCCGTCCCAAATTAAACCCGTTACCGATCGCTCCCGCGCTTTATTCGGAAATTTATGCAGACCTCTAGTTGCAATAATACCGGAATTCAGTAACAATCAATACTGAACTTTTAAAAACGTCCATTTCCCAATAACATTTGAGCGCTGTTGAGAACGTTCTCAAGAAAAATGACTGTGGTTGGCCGTGAAGGTCATCAGTTCACTGAACTCAGCACTGTTTATTAAGTGTAACCACAGATGCAGGGACACTGGAGCTTTTCAAAGCCTCCGTTCATCAACGAATCACTCGTATGTCAGACAAACAAGCTGATCGATGTGACTTTAAAACCCTCCAGTATCTCTGTATCTGTGGATACACTCAGTCAATACCAAATGTAAATACCAAATGTGCCATGGCGCGGCACAACTGACTCTTAAAGAGAATGGAATTGGTTTAATGCAAGTTATGCTTAAAACACACCCATAAGTAGGATCAGACAGAATCAGTGGACCTTTTTTGCTGGTTCTGCGCAGAATTTTGCAAAAAATCTGTGGATTTATGCAGAATAATTTTGGGATATATATATATATATATATATATATATATATATATATATATATATATATATATATGAAATAAAAAGTAATACCTTTTTAACTTAATGTTTACTTTTTAATGCAAATGCAAATCCAATTAGATCCCCTTTATTTGGTAAACAAAGCAAGTCTCTCATATATTACCTTTACTAAAAGAGAGAAAATATTACTGTACAAACTGTATTGTAAATAAATCTTATGAACATTTTCATATTAGTCAATTATATTACAGAAGTTAATTTAAAACCTGAATAAATATGAATTTACAAACATTTACACAACGATGGGCTAAAAATCTCGGGAATTGTGCGTGCGCAGTGGGCCTCTGTGTGGACCTACCCATAACTCATTAAGAGAATAAGCACAACCCTGTTAGACCATGCACCGGGGCGCAGACCGCATTTTTCAGTCCTTAAAATAGTAAAAGTGGATTCGGACATGCCTTTAATGCTTTTGCGCCATGCATTTTAGACTTTACGCCTAGATTGTTAAAATAGAGCCCTTAAACGTCTGCACCTTGAAACAGTTTTTTTAGTCTGAATTAGATCAGAAATATATCTTTAACCTATTTATTTTAATATCATTAAATAAATGATTTAAAAACAGAGCTAATTAAAAACAGCATTTTTCTAGGGAAAAGTCATTTTATAAGAAATATATAATATTTATATAATAAATTGTTGCATTTATATGGGCTGAAATTAAACAATCAAGTTAAATTTAGTCATGTTTAACTTAAAATCTGTGTTTAAATTCAGCCCATATCCATTGTTAGCAACCACTCACCTTAAATAAATTTAGTAAATCCAACAAATAATTTCTTTTAAGTGTGCTAGAATGCCATTCTGAACATAGCCACTGTCATCCAAGCGAATGACCTCGCAAGCTACTTACATTGTCCCTTTGGTCAAAGTCGACCGAGCTGGAGACAGAGGTGAGACGCTCATATCGGGAGTCAGCAGGCGTCTGCATGGCGGAGGCAACACTGAACACAAACACACATTATCAAACATGTGCCTTCAGAACACTGCGCCAAAGCTAACATATATACATGTACAGTCACTTATTGCAATGCCACTTCATTCATTCTGCATTTGTATTATAAAGCACTATGAACTTGCTTAAGGAATAGTTCATCACAGAATTCAATACAACAGCTTTTTGAAACAACTCTACTGATGTTAATCTTGTTAGCTCAATGATGAGTTATAATCTAAAGTTACACATTTTTTAAAATGAAAGGGTTAAATTAAGATATTTTAGATGAATATAATATATTTAAGATGGAATTCGAGAGCTCCCTCATCCTCCATAAACATTCAAAGTTCAGAAAAGCAACTAAAAGCACTGTCAAAACATTTAAAGTAAATTCAGTGGTTAAACGGTATCATATACAGTATACACTGAAAACATACTGTACTGTATGTCCGTTTTAAAGACCTATCTATTTTCTCTCGCTTTATTATTGTTTTTTTTTGTTATTATTGCTTTTACTTAATAAATGTTTCCTTTTACATTTTATTTTCTTCTCTGTCTTTAATACTTTAATGTTATAGGGCTGCACAATATATCATTTCAGTATTGATTTCGCAATGTGATCATTGGCAATAGTCACATTGCAGGATATGCAATTTTGAGTTTTTATTATAATTCATTGTTTGAATGTGCTCTTGAGGCCTGTGATTGTATAATGATTTTGATTTAAAAATATTCAAGCGTAAGAAATTGTACCATATGTAACATTGATAACGATTAATTTTACTGAATTATGTTTATTTTTAATATTCAATTACTGTACCTGAATACTATTAGACTTGGAAAACGAGTAAACTCACTGTATTTCAATTATATGTTCTTTATTGTATTTATATAGATTCTATAGATTCTATATAGATTGTATATATATATAGATTGCTTATTAGGTTTTGTGGAGATACACTTCCATGACAGAATCAATCCCAATCAATCTAACACTATAAATTCTATCCAAACTGAGACTATGAAGTCACCTGGGCCCGGTTTTTCAAAAGTAATCCACTAGGATTTTGGATAAGGGATTGGATCAAATCTTGAAAATGGGTTTTTCAAAAGAAAAAATGGATTACCTAATCGGATTAGATCACGTAATCTAATCTTGGTATTGATCCGGATCAAACCTTTAGTTTGGGTTTTTCAGACCTTTTTTGTAGGATTTGGATCACTTTGATCCAAAAAACCTGGATTAAACTGATCCCATCAGAAGGGTGGATTTAGTGTGGATTTCATGCCCAAAATGTAATGAAAACTTAAAAAATGTATTAAATAATACTATTTTTGGATCATGTAGTACGAGATTTACTATTTATTCATAAGGTTTTAATTTTATTTGTACATCTGTCAGGCTATAGTGATTATTGGCTTTAATGTATTCAGCCTTTCAGTATAGGCCTACAGCAGAAATATCTTGGCCTCATAAAACAATCCCCCAAACAGCTGTCAAAACTGACCAAAAACAATACATTTTATTTTGTCACTAATATATATATATATATATATATATATATATATATATATATATATATATATATATATATATATATATATATATATATATATATATATATATATATATATATATATATA